CTAAGTCTGTGCATGACTTTAACGTGTGACCAAAATTAGGAATGCACAACAGTCGTTCTAGAAATGCACAATTAGGAATGCACAACAGTCCTTTTTATACATATTGTATTCATCTTCTTTGGAACGAGGGATATATTTAAACAAACTATAACTTATGATACCAGGCATCTTCTGGTGATACACAAAAAATTGTTGGAGTTTTCTACAAGGCCAACGAATACGCTTCCAAGAACCCTAACTTCCTTGGCTGCGTCGAGAACGCCTTAGGAATCCGCGACTGGCTAGAATCAAAAGCACATGAGTACATCGTAACCGATGACAAAGAAGGCCCTCATTGCGGTAAGTATTCCTCTAATCAACAGTCACTTGAAGAGATTATCAAAATATATAATATGGTTCCGTGGTGCTGAATCTTATAATTAAATGATAGAACTTGAGAAACATATCCCGGATCTTGACGTCCTAATATCAACTCCATTCCACCCGGCATATGTGACTGCTGAAAGAATCAAGAAAGCCAAGAACCTGAAACTTCTCCTCACGGCTGGTATTGGCTCGGATCACATCGACTTGCATGCAGCTGCAGCCGCTGGTCTGACGGTTACGTGGTCTCAGTAGCAGAAGACGAGCTCATGAGAATCTTGATCCTCGTGCGCAACTTCGTACCAGGGTACAACCAAGTCGTCAATGGTGAGTGGAACGTCGCGGGGATTTGTTATAGAGCTTATGATCTAGAAGGGAAGACGATAGGAACCGTGGGAGGTGGAAGAATCGGGAAGCGTTGGCTACAACGGTTGAAACCATTCGGGTGTAACTTATTGTACCATGACAGGCTTCAAATGGAACCAGAGATAGAGAAAGAGATTGGAGCTAAGTACGTTGAGAATCTTTAATGAAATGCTTCCAAAATGTGACGTCATTGTCGTCAACACTCCTCTCACGGAGAAGACAAGGTATGACTCGAATCTAATGTCACAAATAATGAAGACTAACACGAACAAGATTGACTATTAATGGGTTCTTGATTAAAACAAGCAGAGGAATGTTCAACAAAGAAACGATAGGGAAAATGAAGAGAGGAGTTTTGATAGTGAACAACGCAAGAGCAGCCATCATGGAGAGGCAAGCGGTGGTGGAAGCGACGGAGAGTGGACATATTGGTGGGTACAGTGGAGACGTGTGGGACCCACAACCAGCTGCTAAGGACCATCCATGGCGTTACATGCCTAACCATGCCATGACCCCTCACATCTCCGGCATCACCATGGACGCTCAGGTAAATTATTATATTGTTTGTTTTCCTTGAACGTTATTAATTAATAACAAGTGACGTAACATAAATTGCATTTAAAACATACATAAAATGCTTTAAAATGTTTTTAGTACTTTTTTGTCGTCAAATATATATACTCAAATTTCAGTTTGGCCATGTATTTATTAGAGTTACTAAAAACATTTTATTTGTTGAAAAAAAACCAGCTACGATATGCAGCGGGGACAAAAGACATGCTAGAGAGGTACTTTAAGGGGGAAGACTTCCCTGCCCAAAATTACATCGTCAAGAACGGTGAAATTGCTCCCCAGTACATGTAAGCTTTTTCGACTATTAAGTCGATCATATATCCAAAGGACAAGGCTTACCATTCTAATAAATTATTTACAAATAATTTGTCCTTGTACCATTTGAAAACATTGTTGTAATGAACCAACGAGACATGTCTCTGGAAAAATAATTTTCCTGTATTTGCGCGACGATTAGTCGCATATGAATGTCATTTTATCATATTTGATCTTGCAAGTTTTTCCTCTTTATATAGCTTCAAATCGTTTTAACACGCTAAAAACTGAACAAGTAATTTATTTGCAAAAGCCGATTCTTGATTCACATATAATAACAAGAAGACAAATTGATGAAAGGCTTAACAATTTCACAAGTAAAATCCAGATTGTCATAGAGTTTTTGGCTTTAACATGTGGTACAGAGTCACAATTAACGGAACATCACGAGGATGGTGCAATTCTGAAGATCACAGAGCTACAAATGAGCAAGTCCATACGAGATTCTTCCGTTCAAGAACCGGATCAAGTAACAAGAAGCAAGCTCTGTGAAGTTTAGTTCCTAATGAGTAGAACCTACTTGTTAACTAAGTAGAAAGAGTTGACCAGTCTTGTTCAAAAGGACATGGTCAGAACACTATCAGGGAAGAAAAAACAAAAACTAAGGAAAAGGAGACTATCCAAGAAACAAACAAGGCATTTAAAAATATATATAATGCACTAATAATCTCCTCTCGAAACATGCAAGTTGTGATGTTGCTGAATCTGCACCGAACTTGGAACATAAGAGCACATAAATGGCAAACAATAAGATTTTCCGAGATCCACTTCTTTGTAATATCCATTCTCTTCAATCACGAAAGCAGCGTTGTTGTGGTAGCTGCATTTCGTTTCCCTACCAAAAATCACTGCGATTTTCTTCTTCTCATCAACAAAGAAACTCCAATATCTAAAATGAAATGCTCGAGTGAACAGTCTCATATCAACTTTTAAGAAGTTGCTCCAGGACACTGCATTGGGCTCAATCTTAGTTATGATCCTTATCTTCATCTCATTTGTATCCCTGCGGTGAAATAACACTACAAGCCGCTCTTCTCTAACAGAAGACAAAATCACAAAATCGCCATGACTAGTGTGAAACAACAGAGGAATACGCGGTCCAAATCGCTCTCTTGTAAAATCAAAACAGAGTAAAACTTCTTCCATCATCTCTACTTGTTCCACTTCCAATCTTTCCTGAGCAACAAAGTAAGTATTTCCTTTCAAGGGCAAGCCCTGCCGAAAATTCGGTATAAGCCAGTGGGGAGTGACATCAAGAACTCTCCATGAATTAGACTTAAAATCATAGATTTCGTACTCAAGAATTTGGCGGTGGCCAAGGCTGTAAGGATCCAAACACCTCAAGATTTTAAGGTTGTTGTTTTTGTCGTATCCGATATTATACCTATCAAAGATATATATAATTATTTCTAGGTTTGATCTTCCTCACTTGTCCCAAATACGGGTTCCATACCGCAAGCACACACTGCTCAATAGTGACCTTGAGGACGCATAACAATAAACCATCATAGTGAAATACAAACGACTAACAATTTAAGCATGAGGCCATCAAATAAATGCTCAAAAGAAACAACACTATGCATCTTGAAGCTTTTTTTCTTCTTCAGCCTTGTTG